CCTTCCATCCAATTGTTCTTTTCATGAAATCTTACAAACAGAATGTGGATCCAGTAGGGGCATTGATACACATGTGCTGCTATCTGAGTGCAAAGCTGATATTTCTGCTCATTTAGTGAGTTGTCACTTGTCCCACTGCTTAAATGTTACAGAGAGCGACTTGATTCTGGCGCGAGCTTAGCCTGCGCGGCAGGCGGTATTTCTACAGGCAGCGAAAATTAGGGAGTCAAAGGAAATACCGTCTGCCGCAAAACTAGGGGTTTTTGAATTACCCGTCCGCTGGTGAACGGAAAAAACGGATTGGTTAGTATTTTTATGTAGTTGTCAATCAACGGCTAAATTCGGTTAAATGTTAATCATTAACCAAATGTTTTGACGTTTTGAAACTCTGCGTTTTGAAATTATCAAATTAGTTCACGTCAAGTCAGACCAGAAATGGGATACCGTAATAAAAGAAGCAAATTTAAAGATACAAGCTGAAAAATAACACTCTAAGTAGTGTTTTTGATAGCGATTCGAACAAGAATATTTAACAAAGAAGATGCGTCCGAAGGGGCCGAAGTTATGATCTGCGAAAGGTATGGGCTAGTCTATATTTTCGTTCAGACAATTTATAGTATACATGCGTATTAATTTGATAATATACGATCTCGCTTGACTTTCAAAGGCCATAAATCGCAGTGATGTTGGCATTTTACTAAAACTATCGATAGAAATTAGGAGATATTTCTTCACTGAATCGAACGGTGGGATTTTCATATAGGCCTATATCATGTTCTGAACCAAAGATACTTGATAGATATACGAACCTCCAAAGTATGAACTAGGGGCCGATTGATGCAGTAATTATCAAATAACAGTTAAACTCTTATATACCTGTTGAATATGTATAGTTGTAAACAAATAAAAACTATCGTTCTATAAGGTTCAAAACTTTCAGTTTGGTTGTTGACTGATGATGAATCTATAGTATAGACTTGCATGCTTTGTATTTTGAGCTTATTAAACCACCGTTTTAAGGCAGCTAAACGGGCTTGGTTTATATTAACACATAAAATAAATTCCTTGATTCTCATCACTAGACACAGTCTACACTTTGAAATGCCGAAGACAGTGGGAGATTTATTTTTTATATTTTATATTTATATAATTTATATATCAATAGTATAGTTCGTATCTCCACGAACAATGACAAAATGACTGAGTTTCTTTAAAATACAATGAAATTTCATTCAAAATTCTGTTTCAAATTGGAAGTTTAAAATGGCAGTAAAAACCCTATATAAAATATAAAGAAAATTAACTGTCTTGAATTATTTTGTCGGGCGGTACATCCGTATATTGTATGTAGAAATATAAAACATTTTCTCGAGGATTTTAAAACAGTTCAGTTGGGCGGTGATGAGAATCAAGGAATTTATTTTATGCTGGGCAGTTGGGACTTGGGAACAACTTGGGAGTGGCTAATTTTGAATATTTACTTAATTAATGACATCTATAAATAGCGTTGATGCTTCAGGGGCGGTAGTTCATTTACACCCAGTTTTGCGGCAGGCGGTATTTCCTAGTACCGCCTGCCATGCAGGCTAGCGAGAGCTGGGATCAGAGGGTTATCGTCAACTCATCTCGCACCCGCATGACTATATGCCCAAAGCACAGGCATCTCTTAGGAAGATTCTGGCGACCTCCGAAGTCTTGCCGATACCCGAATCATTCTGGTAAAAAAACTAGCGTGGCTGGAAGGCACGTCATAAACTGGCAAATGGCTGAGGAAATGTACCTCTTATTTGGTATATCTACAGCTGTCGGATCACGTAAGTACATTTTGTTCAGTGTTCAAGCATTTATAGTCTATTTTCAAGCGGCTACGCTGTTAAATGCCTTAAATATATTTATTCTTTTTAACGCCTTCAAAAATATAAGAAATAGGCAAATAGCAGTTCTTCGATTGAACAGCCAATTATCAACGATCTGTTGATTCAACTTTATTTTATATATAGCTGTATGTACTTGTTGCCGAAAGAATCATGCTGAGCGTATTCTAGCTACAAAAAACTTGAAAACAGCCCCTCTCGATAATCAACCAAGGTTAGTTTAATAAGTAATTAACATGTTTTATTGGGCGAACCGGGAGGGCGGGGGGGGGCAAGGAGCTGATGGGCCAATTTGAAACGTAAGTCTGGAAAAAATATGCGGGGCCGCAGGAAATAGATGGGAAAGCAAGAAAAAAGTAATCAAAGGATTCAAAGCAATCTAATACTTGTGTATCATGATGCAATTGTAGTCATCTATTTAACAAATATAAAACATTTTCCGTGTTGACATACAGTTATATCAACACGAGTGGAATTGGGAAAACGAGAAATTGTATGGAAACACGACGCCCGAAGGGCGGAGTGTCTTCATACAATTTCGAGTTTTCCCAACTTCCACTCGTAGTAGTACTTGTAGTAATGGACTGGGCGATGAAGTTCCAGCAACTTAGGTATCGTGAAAAGCAGTCAGACTGGTTCGGTAAAAGAGGTTTAAGCTGGCACATATCTACGGTTATCTCAAGCGATACAAAGAATGAAGGCTCATTAGAACTACAGTCGTACGCTCATCTCTTCGATACTTGCCAGCAAGACTGGTTTGCAGTATCTTCAATTATCGAAAACACACTGAAAGTCATCAAGACCCAGAAGCCGCATGTCACCCAGGTTTATCTGCGATCAGATGAAGCCGGCTGTTATCATAATAACGCTCTAATTGCTGCAGCAAAAGATATCGGCCAGCGAGTAGGTATAGCTGTTTGTCGCTACGATTACTCAGAACCACAGTATGGCAAAGATGTGTGCGATCGCATTTTATGGCCGATGAAGACATGTATCCGACGATACTGCAACGAAGGACATGATATTCTATGTGCAGAAAGTATGAGAACAGCACTTTCAGAAAGACCAGTAAAGGGAACGTCCGCGTGTGTCTGCGAAGTAGACGAGGAAAAGGAAACCTTACAAGTTAAGAAAATAGATGGCTTCGGCAAGTTACATAATATTCAATTTGAGGAGAAAGGCATTCGTGTTTGGAAAGCTTATGGAATAGGTCGTGGGAAAGAAATCTCGTTTGAGCAGCTAGTTTCACAAAGCCAGGGAAGCACCGGTCTCAAGATCGTTAATGACTTTTTTGCTCCAGAAGATACACGAGCATACAAATGCAAGAAACCTTTGCCAGAAAGTTCAGATGACGACAGCGATTCGGAGCTGGACATATTTGAGTGTTCGGAGCCAGGGTGCGTGAAGAGTTTCCAAACCTTTTCAGATCTCGAATCACATTTGGACATCGGAGACCATTCTGTAAAGGATGGACAAAAGCAAACACTGTATGATAAACTAAGGAGGGACTGGGTTGAAAGGTTTACTACAGCAGTCAACATATCTGAAGACGAAGCATGCCCTCCCACTAACACTACAAATGAGAATGAATCATCATTACCAAACAATGGTATTCAGATTGGCTGGGCCCTATCGAAACCACGAAGTGGATCCTCGAGATTTTCGGAAAAAGTCAGAAGCTACTTAACCGCAAGATTTGACATTGGCGAGCTGACGGGACACAAAGCAGACCCCCAAAAAGTTTCTACTGATATGCGGAATGCAAGAGATGAACAAAACAATCGTTTGTTTACGAGAGAAGAATGGTTAACAAAAACGCAAATACAAGGTTTCTTTAGTCGTCTCGCAGCTAACAGGAGAAAAAACAAGGATCTTCTTGACCTTGAATATAAGGAAGTGTTGAGAGAATATGAAGAATGTGAACGACAAGCACTGATAGCAGAAATTGCTGAACAAATCAAACCGCAGCATCCAATATCATATGACGCCTTTAATCTTTGCGAGTGCGCACGAGAAAACAAGTTGTGCAAATTCAACCTGGCAATGCTAAAACAAATCTTCCATTATTTTGCCATACCCTTTTCATCCAAATACAGAAAGAAAGACTTCATTGCAGAGCTTACATACTTTATAGAGGAGTGTGCGTGTTTTAGACAGTAGAACTTATTTTCTGTAAATTTATATTTTAAAGAAACGCTACCGAGGAAGAACGGTACCCGAATCGTTTATCGGCTGATAATTTCAGCAAATATAAAAGTAATGTTATTCCGAAAAAACTGTATATATGCATTTTAACAACACGTCTATTTTAAAAGCTGTATATTTTGAATCTAATTTGATTCATCTAAATAAAATATATCGCCATATCTTCTAAAGATACTGCTGAAGATGAATCAAAATAGATTTGAGAAAGACAGTTTTCAAAATAGATGTGTTGTTAAAAGCAGTACTATCTGCATGCATGTTCCGCGGTTATTGTGCCTGGAGGCATTCAGCCAACCAAATGATGGCAGTCTGCCATATAAATATTTACAGTTCTTAAAGCTGCATGTGGTTGATGAAACAATTTTAAAATATATATAGTAAACTGTACAAGAACAGTTTTATCAGGTCAAAAATAGTTTTGTATTTGGTTTTGTAGATATATAAAGTGCTCGATACTGAAATTACGTATATATGCATATGTATTTGCTAACACAATAATGTAGTATTTAATTTCAAACTTGATATAAATAGTTCATTGAACCGGCAAATATCGGTTTAAGGTGGCTCGCTACACTTTTTAAATAAATGGAAGATCTTCTGATTTGGACATGAATTTCTGGACAATAATTATTTGTTGAAAAACAAAGAGAATCTGACTTGAATTAAACAATAACTAAGAAGTTCGGAGTTTTTAAAAACTTACTTTTAACAACCGTTGCTATGACAACAATGACGTTTCAATATGGCGGATATTATTCGCTTTATTAAAGTAATTTAACTTGAAAATAAAGTCGGTGACCCCCATTTTTTATTTTATGGCATGATTTCTTTCAGTATTTTGTATCGTTTTCATGCTTTTGAAAAAATTCTGTCGTGACAAAATTGTTCAAGATTGAAAAATGTAATAATTCGTAACATTTTTTTTTTGCATGACAGAATTTATTTAAAAATCATAACGGTGATTCAAAATACTAAACGAATTCTTTTTATGAAATAAAAAATGGGGGTAACCAACCTTATTTTCAAATTAAATAACTTTAAACCCAAAATATCGGCCATATTGAACTTATTGTTGCCATAACAATAGCCTGCTCATAGACGTTGTAGTTCTTACGCCAAGCGACGAAATAATTCTTTTTTTTCGAAAAAATACAACTCTGTAGTTATTGTTTTTCTAGACGGAATTTCTTTGCCTTTTAACAAATAGGAATTGTCAAAGAATTGGGTCTAAATCGGAGATCTTTACTGGTAAACTGTGGAGAGCACCTTAAACTCAAACTGACGAAATTTCATGCATTGCGGACTTATTATAGTTGTATAAGCTACGGCGCGTAATCAAGAATGGCTAAAATGTTTAAAATCACTGAGCATTATTATTTAAACAAAATTAACTGGTATTTAATGACTTGTCTGATATATTCAGTACGTTTTCGTCCCAAACTGTCTTGATCTTGTTTCATTGCATTGGCAATTATTGGCGGTGCATGCACGCACGAACTGTCGAAAGTTTATGAATTGCGGACTTCTTGTACGACGCGTAAACAAGAATGCCCACAAGTTTTATTTCATAAGTATTTAAGCTAGTCTTAGCACATTTGAGCAATATTAGGAATAATTCCAGGTTAGGTCCCACTTTTGAGAAAATCGCCTTTGATTGTAGGTACTTTAGCGCCAAACGCGTTTCGGAATTTTAGTATTATATTCTCAAATTATCATATCTCAGTGAAAATTTTATAAAATTTTATGGTTAAAAAGTTAAATTATAACTTAAAGTTATAAAATTGACGTGTAAAATTTTTGGCTGAGTTAAGAAAGAAATAAACTTTCGGTGGCGCCCGATATGTATAGCTTAAACACAGCTTTCCCGACAGTCAATTTGCTAGTTTTTGAGGTGTCATCGAAAACCGTCTCTTGTAAAGTACGTATAAATGTTATTAACCCAAATAAATGTGGTATTTGTTTGTTGTATATACTGGCTGACTTCTACTGAGAAAATTGTGAAAATCGGCGTTCGGCCAAATTTTGCCTTATCCGTTGTTACGTGGACAGCCTCTTAAAAACCCGACAAATTTTCAATCTATCAATTCAAAATATTATTACAGCTTTTAAATTTTGTGCGCGAGCCATTTTTAGTTTGTTGGAAAAGACACACCCCCCTGGTTCACAAAATTTGAGTTCGAGAATTTTTTTTCATTATTTTACATTATAAGTACCCAAAGAAGCTATATATATAAAAAAACAGATACAAATAGCTGTTTTGCGAAATTGAGAGCAATTTCAAATCTGTTCAGTTTTTTTTTATACACCCTGTAGTGTTGTATAGCTTTATATATTGTTGTATAGTCTTGTATAACGTTGTATTTAGCGTTGTATAGTGTCGTATAGAACAAGGGCAAATAATGTTAGCCAATCAGCGCGTTTGTTTACATTTTGCGTTCTTGACCAATCAGAATGCCTGAAATTCGAAACATGTAAACAAAAGGAGTGAGAAAATAACACCTTGTTCTACGCCCTCGGTGACATTCGATATTAAACATTTTTCGCCAAAACTGACAAATTCTGCTAAAGCATGCTTTCTTCTTTAATTTCCTCGGGGGGATTTTTAAAATTCGATCTAGAACGCGAAATATTTATGTTTGAATAACAGTGTTTCGACGCGCGTAAAATAGCAGACTCTCACTTGCACTATCTTTACACACACATGAAAAATTGGTAGATTTGGCAGTTTAAACTTATTTTCCCCACACCACAGCTGACATGTTTTTAAATATTACCTATCTGATCTCATCGATCTCATTTCGCATCGGAAATTCGTCACAACGATCCAGGACTGACAGGTACAATATCGCATGACTCATTACTGTACATTAAAAGTACCCGGTTGGCGAAATGGTGATTGTCTGACCACAGTTAATAGCTGACAGACCTTCGCGAAGGGCTTAATATTTTTGCTAATAAACTGTTCACGAGGGTTTCGTTCTGTTCGTCTTCTGGTTCGTCGTCAATCGTCATCGGCTGCCTCACTTCTTGGTCGCTTTCGTCCTCTTCAAAGCAAGTCGCCGGAGCAAACAGCGTTAGTATTTGCTGTCTTTCCAAGAGCTTCAACGTTGCTTTACAAACTGGGCTATCGCTGACGTTGGGCAGGATGCATTTGATGTGGAACGAAGGTCCACAACCACGGAAAACGTTCCAAGTGGACTAACCTTTTTGCAGGCAGGCAAATCGCAAATCGATGGAAATTTTAAAGGAAGATTTATATTTTATATTTACAGATCTTGATACATTTATAGTCAGTACGTCCTTGGAAATTGTTCCAAAATATGAGTGTGTACCAAAGTTAAAATTATATTATTCATAATCTCTAGAACATGTTTGAATGTTTTGAATCACTGCAGTTTAGAATTAGCAGTCCTTTAACTCTTTTAAAGACAACAGAACTGGCAGCCATGGCACCCCATAACTATTTAGTGTACAATATTAGTCACTGTAATTAATTACTACCTCCCCCAACCCAGAAGTAGGCAGTTTTTACTTCTCAGCACTGACACTATCTGTAAATATCTGTGTGTAAATATCTGGTTTTGTCTCAGTGACCCTGTTTTGCCCCACACTTTGGGATTTGAGCAGGCAGGGATTTATATTGTCTGGTATTGGTACATAGCTTACCATAATCACAGGATATTATTGAAAGATTTCCCTACCAATTCACTGCCTTAAAAGCATTATATTATTTGCTCAGTGTGTGTGTGTGTTACTTTAAGTGTACTCTGGTTCCAGAGGCTCTTTGCGAGGCGAAAGAAACAAGATGCGAGAACGGAGAGCCTCTGGTCACATCAGGGCCGTATCACCAGGGGGCAGTAGGGCTTATATGTTGAAAAAAGTTCCAAATATCCAAAGAATAATTAATAATGACATTCTAAAAATTGTAAATATAGTTTTCTTTAGGAGGGCAGTTTCCCCCTCCTGCCGCCCCCTCCCCTGTGCTGTGTACAGCCCAGGGTCACTGTCCATTGCGAATCCCACTTCCACACTTGATTAGGTTCAGCATTTGAATTTCGCATGTGATTGCCCATTTGTAAAAATATGCCAAACTGGCTTGGGAAATAAACATTGCTGTAAGCTAATTATAGCCTGTATTAAAATATTCTATTAAACTCAACCAAGAATGTATTACATGTCCTGCAAAACTGATTAATGTTGATATGTTTATCTCCTGAGAAATTTAATACCTTTTCACCTGCAGGAGTATTAATATTCATGCTTGGTTTCTCAATGCGACTCAAACCCAGTCCTCATGTGAAAAGAATAAACCGCAACGCTCTGCCAAACGTCACAGGTTTTCCCCGGGTACTCCAGTTTGACAGGGTGGGTTGGGTAAAAAGGGCTCACAGTAATTGGCATATGCTGTTGTGGTGACCCGGCCCTATTTGGCATGCTAAATAGATACTATTAGATAGCTATAATTAGCTCACAGTAGTGTTTATTTCCCAAACAGGTTTGACATATTTTTACAAATGGCCAATCACATACGAGATTCAAATTCTGAACCTATTCAAGTGTGGAAGTGGGATTTGCAATTGATATGATCAGAGGTTTTCCATTCTCACCTCTTGTTTAAAGTAACACACAGGCAGACCAAGTGCTGCAATTCAACTAATTAAGGACCTGTTTATATGCAGGAAGCCGGGCTGGCCTGCTTAGCGAGACAGGCAGGTGGGATGAATTTCTCTTGTGTTTATATGAGAAAATTTCATCCCGCTTGCTGGTTTTGACAGTTGTTAAAAATAGCTTGCGGCAGTATCTTTCATTCCAGCAACTGGGCTAGCCCGCTTGTGAGTGTTTATATGGAGAAATTTCCACCCCGGTAAGCGAGATCTCACCTCTTTTCAAGTGATATCTCACCTCTTTTCAAGTGAGATCTCGGCAACCTGGCCAGCCCACTTGTCCATATAAACACACAATAATTTTTACTATAAAAATAACTACACAGCGAGATCTCGCATACCGGGCTCTCCCACTTAGCGGGCCAGCCCGGCTTCCATATAAACAGGACCTAAGTACCAGTCAATATAAGTCCCCGCTTGCTTGAATCTAGGAAGTGTGGGGTTCATGGGACAAAGCAGGGCCACTGAGACAAAGCCAGACATTTATACAATCCAGCAATTTTGATTATGCAGTGCTGGGAAATAAAAACTGCCTACTTCTGGGTTGGGGGAGGTGGTAATTTACATTGTCTGGTATTGTACACTGAATAGTTATGGGGTGCCATGGCTGCCAGTTCTGTTGTCTTTAAAACGACTGCTAATTCTAAACTGCAGTGATTCAAAACATTGTCCAAACATGTTCTGGAGATTATGAGTAATATTTTAACTTTGGCACACACTCATATTTTGGAACAATCTCCAAGGACGCTGACTATAAATGTATCAAGATCTGTAAATATATAATATAAATCTTACCTGCGATTTGCCTGCCTGCGAAAAGGTTAATCCACTTGGAACGTTTTCCGTGGTTGTGGACCTACGTTCCACATCGAATGCATCCTGCCCAACATCAGCGATTGCCCAGTTTGTGAAGCAACAACGTTGGCAAATGTTGAAGCTCTTGGAAGGTCTTCGAAAGACAGCAAATATTAACGCTGATTGCCCCGGCGACTTGCTTTGAAGAGGAAGAAAGCGACCACGAACCAGAAGACGAACAGAACGAAACCCTCGTGAACAGTTTATTAGCAAAAATATTAAGCCCTTCGCGAAGGTCTGTCAGACAATCGCCATTTTGCCAACCGGATATGTACTTTTAATGTACAGTAATGAGTCATGTGATATTGTACCTGTCAGTCCTGGATCGTTGTGACGAATTTCCGATGCGAAATGAGATCGATGAGATCAGATAGGTAATATTTAAAAACATGTCAGTTGTGGTGTGGGGAAAATAAGTTTAAACTGCCAAATCTACCAATTTTTCATGTGTGTGTAAAGATAGTGCAAGTGAGAGTCTGCTATTTTACGCGCGTCGAAACACTGTTATTCAAACATAAATATTTCACGTTCTTGATCGAATTTTAAAAATCCCCCCGAGGAAATTAAAGAAGAAAGCATGCTTTATCAGAATTTGTCAGTTTTGGCGAAAAAACATTAATATCGAATGTCACCGAGGGCGTAGAACAAGGTGTTATTTTCTCACTCCTTTTGTTTACATGTTTCGAATTTCAGGCATTCTGATTGGTCAAGAACGCAAAATGTAAACAAACGCGCTGATTGGCTAACATTATTTGCCCTTGTTAGGCCAATGAGTAGATTTTAGGTCCTTTTTGAACATAGATTCACTAAAGTTTTTAAAGTTTCGACATTCAATATATCGTGGTTTACCATCTACCTCGTCCCCAGGCGCTAATAAAAAAAATCTCATGCGAGTCACTATATGAAAGGTTTACATGAAGTAGTGCGTCACATTCTAGGCGCGCAAAGGGGAGTGGGATATGAGCGTTCTGGTTAGCGCCTGGCCGATCTTGTATAAATAGCTGTCGAACATACAAGTAAACAACAGATCTAAATATAAATCCCTTCATGTATATCACCACAAAGAAATAAAGCTATCCTTATCTGAATTATTCAAAATATTGTCGATCGTTTGCATCGTGAAAATCAAACATACTGCATGTAAATAAGCTCGTAACTGAAATCCTGAGACGAATCTTGCAAATGCAATTCAAAATAAAGTTTCATCGCTCCCTTGTTTAAAAAACGTCTTGTAGCTGTATATTTTTAAAATAAATTGCTCGTTGTGATAAAAATTCATTGTCATTTTTCCATACCTTGTAAATTTATTATATAAACCGGCTTCTACAGCCTCGTAGAACTCTTCAAGTGTTGACATCTCGGAATCATTCAAAGCGTTAAAAGATATCAAATATCATCTGACTGTAATCACATGTTTAATTGAACAATTTGAAATGTTGTTTCCTCAAAAAAAATGACGAAAAAAGCCCCCAAACTGTCGAAAAACCACGATTTGCAAGAAACAGACGAATTTTGCAAGAAACGGCACAAGATCTCCCAGGCGCTCCTCAATTTTGATGCCTCAAGCCCATAACCCCCAGCGCTTGTTCATCACGATGCACTACTTCATGTAAATCTTTCATATAGTGACTCGCATGAAATTTTTAATTAGCGCCTGGGGACGAGGCAGGTTTACCATTACGTTATGCCGATTTTCCGTACTGCGTAAATTAAATAATGGTCACTTATTGACAGAGTGTAAACTCCCGAATTGATAATAGAATCAGATTTGTTAGTAATTATTAAATCAATCAATGTTTGCGAAGTGCTATTTACTCTGGTTGGGTCAACAATAATTTGATTCAGTTGGTAGTTAACTAATAAATTATTAAGGTATTGTGTATGACACTCAGGGGGATTTAATAGATAATTACAATTCAGGTCACCTAAAATGTAAATTTCTTTGTATTTACTATCAATTGTTTTGTAAAGATTCTCAAATTGCTCAAAACATTGTAAAGGACTTTTCGGTGGTCTGTACCACGCTATTATAAGAAAAGGTTGTGAATAAGGCTTTATAACCTCAATTACAATTATAGATAAATAGATAGATAGATAGATAGATAGATGGATAGACTATACTAAAAGCTGTGTTAAATTGATACGATGGTGGTTAATGCATGAAGGCATGCAAGATTTCCCGCATACATCACATGATAATTGATTGATTTCTTTGCATTGGAGTCGCTTAAACATCCCATATTAACAAATCATGAGTAATTGTATCACTTACCTCGTTGCTTGTCCGATATTTTACGCGGACATGTGCCTATATTGGATAGCAGTTTACCCGGCCGCTTTTACCTTGTGGATCGCATGCCTTTTAAGTACTTTTTCTAAATTTTAAACGCAAAACAAACGTTATAACGAAGTTATGAATGAAAACAAGATGTTACGAAGCCTCAGGTGTTTGACCGGCGGGGGGGAGTTCGGGTTTATTGAATTAGATTTTCCCGTACGTTGCTTCGTTTTCGAGATATTTCAGTTAGGCAGCGTTTACACTGTACCGTTTTCGTAGCGTTCTCGTATTGTTCTTAATCCTCAAGGGAACGCAAGACAATAGTCTAGTTCTCTCGAACAATACGAGAACGCTACGAAAACGGTACAGTGTAAACGCTGCCTTAGTTTGATATACATGCATGTACATGTCAAGGTTTCTACGTCACATATGCATAATGAGTTTGCTGAAAATGTTATATATATTCTTGCTATTATGAAATTAAATTACTAGAGAATCCAGGTATTTGATGTTGTAGAGAACAACACAAATGCACACTACACATCTATAAAGCGATTTTGTTTAATAATAGCAATGATATACAATTTGTGGATAACTCATTACGCATATTTGTGACGTAGGACCTTGAGACATACATAAAACTATAACTGAAATATCTCGGAAAAACTAGTACTGCAAAAGAAGTTAGTATTTTATATTTTCGTAACTGCACAAATGGGTTTAAAACTACACATTTTGCGTAGAACTGCATGTTATAAAAACCCAGCGACATTTTATATCTATCAGTTTTGTTTGAAAATAAGGCGGGGGGGGGGGGGACACCTAAAGTCTGGCAATCAATGGTGTCACGGGTGGTCATCTCACTGTTCTCATGCAATATGGCTGATAAAGCTGTTCGCCTGGAGTGCATGGATAAACAAGATTTCAATTTTCATATAATGAGCTTCCAGCTTTCAAGAAATATGAAGAATCGATTCACTATGAGACAGTGCCCTAGCCAGAACGATAATTGGGGGGGGGGGGCACATATTCATATATTCGTGTTCACATACCATAAAAACAATTGATTTCAAAAGAAATCAATAAAGCAGAACACGAATATATGAATATGTGCCCTCCCAATTATCGTTCTGGCTACGGCA